TAAGTACACATCTGCACACAACCTCTTGGCCAGTACTAGACATTTGTAAAAAATGAGAAAATAGTGGGAAGGCTTAGATTTACTGTGAGACGATGGTTGTTACAATATCCAGTGTCAATTCAACTGTCTACAACAAGAATTGGAGACTTAATCATTTTACAGAAAAAATAATTGTTCTGAATTTGTGGGAAAAACATAGCCACCGTAAGTGGTTTTAAAAGATTTTAATCTATAAGTAAGCACTGCACGCGTTTCCTGTTGCTACTGTAATAGGTCACCCAAAACTTAATGTCTTACAAATTATTACCTTATAGTTCTGAAGATCTGAAGTCTAAAATGAATTTCACTGCACTATATTGATGTTCTGTGAGCAAGTTTGCATTCCTTTCTAGAGGCTATGGGGGCCACTGTGTCCTTGTCTTTTCCAACTTTTAAAGGCTACCCCACCGTCCTTGGTCTGTAGTCCCCAACCTTCTTCAAAGCCAGTCCTGGGTGATCAAATAATTCCCATGTCACATCATTCTGATACATTCATTCAACCCTTGGTGGAACTGAAAATTTCTGAAGAGGCTGACTCTGTATATTAAAGATCATGCACACTGTTTGGACTTGACGTAGAACATCATGATTGTGGAGAGATGGAATATTGTGAATTGAGTCAAATTTATCTTGGGCTATTGCAGTTTCTTTAATAACCATTTACTTTCAACCTCTGTATGTGGCCTAACATCCTTATGACTCTTATTCTCAGAATGTTTCACTAATATTAGCAGAGCTCTAGCTTACACCAATGCTAAAACTAACAATGCCTTTAGAAGACATGTCTGTGCTTTGATGAAGTCCACCTATCTAATGTCAAAATCAACACACAGGGTAACATGAATCCATGATCCTAAACCATGGTCAGGATGTTGGCCCAGAATCAATTATTTTCTCATTTCATTTAAAACAGAATTGTTATTTTACATTGATGTCTTTTTCACATACAAGGAAAATTGTGAATAAATGGACTCTCTAGGATCATCTATCTCCCTATCTGAACATTCTTAACTAGATCACAAGTATTCTTTTTTGCTATGTAAAATAACAAATTCACAAGCTCCAGATACTGGGATATGGATATGCTAGGTTGTGTTTACCTTCTCTACTGTGGTCACTTGATGCAGTTAGTACACTTCTCCATACCCGTCACTCACTGCTTGTCCCTCACTTCTGAAAGTCAGTCAGCTGAAACAGCACAGTCCAAAGAACAGCTGTTGAGAACCAATCAATCAACAGAGATACCGGGTGCCATTCTGGGACTGAGAACAGAACACTGAGACTTCAAGTTTCTCCACACACTGTGTCCCCATTCCTGTACTCCTCCTGGTCCTCATTGCCAGCCTTGTTGTTTCCACTCCTCATTCCTATTCTTGATACTCCTGTCCCCATAGCCTGTGGCCCCCCCACATACACACCATGCAGACCAACACAGAAGGGGTTGTCCACATCTCAGATGAAGATGAAGGAATATTTTGCCCCTGGAGGAGAAGCACAACTACATTTTTCTCTGCTTTTGAGGAGACCAAGGAAGATGACTGCACCTGAGAGCTAAGATGCCACAACAGCCCCAAGGACTGGTAGGTGCTCTAGGGATGCAGGGACCAGTAGTCAAGAATCTCCTGTTCCTTCTGGCTAGAATCCTGCCTTCACACCCAGGAACTTGAATCCACAAACCCTTCCCTAGGAGACCTTCTTGGTGTCCAGGGGGCATACAGGATCTCAATAGTTAAAGGAAAGACAGACCAGGGTAAGCTCAAAGAAAACCAGCCACCTGCTCCATTTAGAACTCTCCATGTACCGAGCAAAAGTCCACAGGCTTCTGGTCCACCAAATCTTCCTCTATCTACTGCCTTCACTGTGTGCTCTCTGTCTCAGATGATATTTCTGCATCCAAAGCCAGCCTTTCAGGAAATAAGGGCCACATCTAAAATAAATCGGATACTTAGGAAATCCTGAAGTCATCAGTGGAGAATTTCTAGGTCTTAAATTTGAACTTACTGTTGAGTTGCTTTTGAAGACTAGGCTTTGAGGTAGTGCCTTAATTTTACTAACTTGGCTTAAGTTAGAGATTTTTGGTTTTGTTTTTAATTCCAATATTACTTTGCACATGAATTAAGAGTATGTGGCAGGTAGAGTAATGTCATCCCCAGGAGATCCTCTTCCTCCTTGGAACCTGTGAACATGTCTCATTATCTAGCAAGGGACTTTGCAGATGGTATTATGTTAAGGATTCTGAGAAGGGGAGACCATCCTGGATGGCACAGGGTAATCTACAAAATCCACATAATCCCCTGGGTCTTTAAAAAGAGGCAGATAAAGAACTCATGGTGATGGGTCAGGCACTCTTCCAGATAGTGCTGGTTTTGGAGGTGGAGGAAGCAGCCACCAGACCAGTGGGTGGCTTCTAGAGCCAGAAAAATCAAGGAAGCAGGATGTGCCCTAGATCCTCCATTGGGTGATACAGCCCTGTTCCCCAGTGATTTTAGGCCAGTGGGACCTTCTATGGACTCCTAACCTACAACTCCAGCATAATAGGTTGTGTTATTCTCAGCCATGATGTTTGTTGAGATTTTTATGGCAGCAATGGAAAATCATCACTAGCGCCTCTCTCACCTCAGCTGTGAGGAGATCTGAGGGATATGAGGAATTCTCTGTAAATTCGGAAGGTCTTAGGTCAGCAGGTGAGACACTATTACGTATTTTAAGTGTTACAATAGGTACCTGTCCTCTCTTTTCTTTTCTGTTCCCCTTTATGGACTTTCACTCTATTTTCCTCACAGGATTCTCCATGGAATTATTGGAATTAGAGAAAATTGGGAGACAGTGGTAGTCATATATGACTGAGGTTTTCCCCTTTCCTTTTTTCCCCCTTGGTGCTGAGGATAGATTCCAGGGCCTTGTGCATGTGAGGCAAACACTCTACGAACTGAGCTATATCCTCAGCCCCTTTCCTTTTACTTGTTACAGAATGAGTTCTGTTTCTGCCACACACAGAGAAATAATATATTTATAAAAAATTATACACTGGAGAACCTGCCTCAAGGATATTTTGGGTTCACTTTTTAAAAAATTATTAATTCAGACAGTTATTTTGCTACAATCATAAAAGGGGAAATACAATAGCTTTCAAAGTTTTCTCCAAAAGTAGCTGGGGACTGTATCCACCAGTTCTCAGACTTTCAAGAGATAATATGTTGTTGTTGTGATCCTTAAGTTGCTACTTATTAAGCTGACTTAAATATTTGAGTTTTCCTGTGTTCACTGATTATTTTCTCAAGACTATCAGTCCTTGAAGCACAGAGATAAAGAAAGGAAATTTGCAGGCTGTTGCAATAACCTCAGGATTAGAGGTCCTTACCATTGGCTGCTTTATCTTTTGATTCAGTAATGGATCTGAGGAGTTTCCAACCATTCAGCTAATTCTGCCAGTAAATTCCTCTGTATTTCAAAAGCCAAAAGCATTCATGCAAATACTTGAAACCCCTGAGTGTAAAGCACAAGTTGACTTCACATCTCCTCACAGGGAGTTCTATTGAAGAGTCTTTTGTAATTGCTGCTGGTAATGGTGGTTTTGTTGATAATGATTACAGTTTTTGTTCTGTCATTGTCTTGTTCACTTTTAACTATTTCTAGGATATAATTGTAGACTAATAGCTTTATTTTCATTCTGGAAGGTGAAAGGGCACAAGAATTTTCTGAAGGATTATTTTAAGACTTTTATTTAAAAATTTATGGAATGATGATTATCAATTAAGGTTCTTAAATAAATTTATTGTTGTGAGTCAATGACATGCACATGCACACGTGTGTTAAACTGTGGTTTGCAGCCCACCTGTATCAGAATCATCAGTGTGTCAAATTGTGTCTGCATCAGTATCACCTGGGATATTTACATAAAGAGGCAGATCCTAGATTAGAGTCCCACACTCACTAAAGTGCTTGATATTGCAGCCCAGGGAGTCACTGCCACAATCCCCACAGCTGATTGTGCAAAAGACCCCCTTTGAAATGAAAAATCTTCAAATTCTTTTTAACTTTTGTTCTTCTTTATACTGAGGATGGAGGCTGATGGACTGCCAGGCCCTCATGGGCACTGCAAAGGGGAACGTGCACTGAGACAGGTTTCTGGCTAACACAGCCTTGCTAAATATACACTTGGGTATTTCTTGATTTTTTTCCCCACTGTGCTCTCTATTCTTATAAAAGTTTTCCAAGCCTCTCACTCGCCAAAGATGTAGACTTGTGAAAGAAAATGTTGTTCTCTATCTTGCTCAAACCCAGAATGGAAAGAAACCTAATTTTCCATTGTCATCCTGACTCCTGAGTTTTAATGCTGCAGAACAAACAGCAAAATATGCCCTTCCCTGTGAGAACTGTAAAGACACATCAAGTTTAAGAATCGCTCCATCATACCATAGAGATTATTGCAAAATGGCAAAGAGAGAAAACTGTAACTTTTTAAACTGAGACTTCAGAATTGGCCAATAACTTTTTTCATGAGTTTTATTTTCTATTCTTTTAAAACTTTTGAGTCTTTTTTAAAAATATTTTTTAGTTGTTGATGGACCTTTATTTTATTCATTTATTTATATGTGGTGGTGAGAATTGAACCTAGTGCCTCACACGTGCAATGCTCTACCACTGAGTCACAATGACAGATCTATAATCTTTTAAAATTTGTTCTAATTAGTTATACATAACAGTATTGTATGCAAATAGAGCACAAATTCTTCCTCTGGCTGAACATGGTGCAGAGTCACACCAGTAGTGTAGTCACACATGTATGTAGGGTATTAAAAGTCCCTCTCATTCCACCATCTTTCACCCCGCCCCCACACACACCCTTTCCCTCCCTCCCCTCTGCCCAATCCAAAGTTCCTTCTTCCCCACTCCCATCGCCCCCGCCTTTATGGATCAGCATCCACTTATCAGAGAAAAGATTCAGCCTTTGGTTTTCTGGGTTTGGCTTAGTTTATTTTCTATTCTTAACACTTGTTCTAGGGACTGGTGTAGAAATGGGAAACAAAGCCGCCAAAAGGAATCTATTTATACAAATTTTGCTTTAAAAAATAAAATAGCTACTGAAAGACCACTATTCAGTTTTACCTAACCTGTCCATGACTGATGTTGGCCTTCAATGTATGGCTACAGTAACATAGATAAATCTCTTACATTTATACTCACCTACTCACATCCTAGGAACACCCTGAAGACACAAAGGAGGCTTCAGTACAATTGGGGCCTGGCCCACACCACTAAGAAACAAGTAGAGGCTGCCATACAGAAGACTTTGCATAGGTGTGGTGTGGACATCAATCTCATATTGCCCTGAGGGATGTTAGGTTAAGAAAATGGCACAGCATACTTAATGGGAGGGCAGGGGGCAGTAAAATTTGGAGAACATGTTAATAAAGGAAGCAGATTGTGCTAGGGTATGAATGAGAGGGCCTCTTAGCAAGTCACCACATTCCTTCCTCACATGGACTCAAAGATCAGACCTGATAGTGCAGGGCAAAGTCCAACCTGGCTTGGCCTAGAGGAGCTACCTGGTCGGGGTGGATGTGTGAAGCATGCTTCTAGAACTGCCAAGGAGCTCTACATTGGGACCACATGACCCATGTGTAGGAGGCAACCATTTCTCCCAAGTTGATCATCTGAGGAGAGCTGCTGAGGTGAGAACTATGCTGTGGCAGGTGCTGTGCCACTGAGGCTGCTCAGAAGCAGTGTCACAAGGTTTACTATGCAATCTTTGGTGCACTTTGCCTAGAGCTGGGGCTGGTGCTATTTGACTACTGGTGTTCCATCACTGCTAGGAAGTCATTCTGTCTTTCTGCCTATGCTAGTAGGAGACATCTCTGATCACCTCTTCAAACCTATACCAGCTTTGAAGGAACAGGGCCCAGATGTTCCTTAGCAGATAGACAGTTGTTCAGATGTGGGGAGGGGGGTATTCCTAGGCTTCCTCATGCTTTAGGGACCTGTGGTAGCTTTGTTTCTTGTGTGGCTCCTGGAAGGCAAGGGGGAGATAGTATAGGATAGGAAAGGTAGCAGAATACAACAGTTACTAATAGGGCATTATGTAAAAATGTAGATGTGTAACCGACTTGATTCTGCAATCTGTATTTGGGGTAAAATTGGGAGTTCAAAACCCACCTGAATCAAATGTATGAAATATGATATGTCAAGAGCTTTGTAATGTTTTGAGCAACCAATAAAAAAAAAAGGGTCTCAAGGCTGGAGCACACAGCAGGTCCCTTAAGAATGTCACCTGCAAGAAAACATGAAAGAATCCTGTTCAGATGGAACTGTTACACACTGCTGATGATGCCCAGGGCTAGAATAAGGGCAAAGCATGCAAAAAGAGAGGAACATGGTGGGACTTGGGAGGTGGTTAAGAGGATGAGACAAGGAGTTGCACGGGGTTGGGAGGAGATTCCAGGTCCCAGCTTAGAGGATAAGCCTCCCTGTGCACTCAAATCCCTCTTGCCCCAACCACAGCCCTACTGCATGCCATATGGTCAGATCCTTTTTTTAGCCAGTTCATGCTACAATTTATGTGGTCTGACAGGAAATAAAGGCCTTTGTCATCTTCCAGGAAAAAAAGGATGGAACATGAAACACGCACATGTACAAACAGCCTGTGGTATTTTAAGGACATGCTGTGAAAAGTTCCCCTGTTAAAAGTGTGAACAAGACCTCCATCTCAGTCCTTGTAGAAGCTTTATCTCCCCCATCCATTACAGGACTGGGAATTTCAGAGATACTGTGTCTGAGACACAGGGCTGCCCTGATGACAGTGTTCACTTTTCAAAATGTCTGTATGGATCTGATGATGGTAAAGGGTCTCCTTGGAATTAGGAATCAGCATAGATTGATCCGAAAACATACCAGTAACATTCATGTGGGATGGAAACTGAGGAGAGGATCTAGAGGCTAGCCCACCCAGGGCAAGACAATTCCTTAGGGGATCTACCTTTTCCTACAACTGGCACAGAGATAACTTAAAAGGTGTGTTAGGATTCAAGGACCATGACCAAAAGAAGCTACAGTATCATAGTGACATCCTTTGATCTTTTGACCAAGAAGCCCTGAGGAGAGGAGAATCTTCAAACTTCAAACTTCAGAATTATTGGTAGTGGACATTTACGGATTACCAAGGTGTCCATGTCTGTGCTTCTTCATTTCCTTTTCTTCTCTTTGAATTATTATCTTAGGGGATGGGGTGTGAAGATGAAGTAAGGTAATCAGAGCTTCAATGAAAGCAGCCACCATGGTCCAGGGGTCTCCCCCAGGATCCTGCACTAAGGTCCAGCACATTCTAACAACCCATGTAGCTCCTGACCCTCAGAAAGCCCTGGAACTCAGAATACAGAACTCATGGGGCAGAAGAGCAGGGCTTATACCAGAAGACAACACTGACTTCTTACCACTTTGCCAGGCAGCCCAGGGCCGTGGAAGCTTGGTAAAGCTACTTGACAGAACATGGTCAGGAGGGAGGCTGACTCCTCTAGGGTGTACTGCAGGGCACAGGTGCTGCTTCTTAGCTCATGGAAACATTTGTTGCCTGGTGCCTGTGAAAAGGCGGGAGGTAGCCATGGACATCACTGAAGCTGAGACATCTCAGAGCTCAGGACATTGTAGGCCTGCACAGGACTCAAGCTTCCTTTGTCAATGAGGCACAAAGTATGGGCTGCTTGAACCTGTAAAATCCTGGTTCATCCCTTAGAGGTCTCAGAACTAAAATGCTGCTCTTTTTACCTGTATTGCCTCTTCCACCTGGACACCCCCATTATAAGGCTGTTAAAGCTCCATTCCATGTCATGTCCATAGAACCTTTATCTTCCTCACATGCAATAAAAGACCTTCTGCACTCAAGGCACAAGAGGTAACTTCTCACATTGGGATTGTGGCCCCTCAGTTGGTTTATCAATAGGGGTCTGTCTTGCCCTGAAGTGGGGGTTCCCTGGGTGCAAGGCTATGTCTACACATCCATGGGTCTCCATGGCTCAGACAGCACAGCCACTGGCCCTTGTTCTCTCTCCACAGAGAAGCACTTTGAGAAGCACAGCAGACTGCTTCCCTCCCATTGCGCCACGGGAAAAAGAAATATTGTGGTCACCAGGTTCTTACTCTTTCCACACCCAAGGCCTTTATGGATGCAAATCCCTCAGTACCTATCCATCTGATTGATTTTAATCTGTCCACATGGGTCAGCATGACTGTAACAGATAATAAACCACTACATCAACATTTAACAAATGCTTTACTGAGGATGGTGGCAATGCTGCAGACTTCTCTGTGGCTCTGAGGGAGAATATCTAGTTGGCCTTCTCTACAACAGAGTAGAACTTAGAATGAATCAGGAGATAGGGAAGCAAGGGCCTGGCTAGAATGAGTGGAAGATACTTTCTCTGTCATTGGGAGAAGCAGGCCACAAAAAGAAATAGTGGAGAAAGAAGTAGAATTAAGGACAAAGGGCACAAAGAAAGGGTAAACCATGAAGCTACAGCTGGAACTACCTCTGAGCTCTGAGATTCAAGGCCCAAGAAGTTGCATGTGGGCCTCAGGAGAGACAGGATCTTTTGAACCAGCTGTTTTCCCTCCTCAGTCTTCTCTCTGAGAGCAGTATAGTCATCGATGCGGCCTATGATAGGGAGGCCATGCTTGTTGGTGAAGGAGCCATCTGTGGTATCACATTCCAGCTTGGGAGAGTTCTTCATTCCTGGAAGATCATCTGAATCAGCTCTAAAAAAGAAAACCACAATAATATAGGATCTGCTGTTACTCATGATAATATCCTCAGTTCCCACCGATGCAGAGATGTGAAAGAGCTCAGGATCAAGAAAGGCAGCCTTCAAAAATGCAGGGTGGGTCAATTCCATAGAGACCTTTTGGTTTCTTTATTTTTATAATCTTTCTTACATCATTACATAATGATAAACTTGCCAGAAGACAAATTTTGTTTTCATCAACAAGTGGATATTCAGGACAATATTATAAACATGAAGAGTTTTCTGGTTAGAAAAGGCACATCAAGTAAATAAGAATGTGTACAGGGAAATGGCCCAAACAGAGCAATAGAACAACTGTGGCAAGAAGAAGAATGAGAAGAAAGGCAGCCACAGAGGATTCAATGAACAGGACTGAAGGCTTTGTGGCACACAGAAAATTTTCTAAATTCACATGACACACTTAAAGAGGACTGACAGTTATTTGCATTAATAATTTTCCTTCATTGTGTCCAAGCCCTTTAGTTGTCATATTTATACCACTTGTCCTGGTGACAATGACAGTATCTGAGCCAGGAGAAAAAAGAAGAGCTGTGGAGGACCAGAGTTAGAAAATTCATACCAACATTCCAAACTGCAGAGAAAACAACTGAAACTAGGGAGTAAAAACAACCAGTGTTCAGGATACCTCAAACACCCTGTACCACAAATCATGCACAGTTTAGCCTTCACCATGAAAGTTCGAAGGTACCAGGACTTCCCTCTCATGTCATTAGCATACCTATGCCGCATGAAAAAGGAAAAGTCAACAGATTGATATGTTTCTATTATTTAGAACAAAAAAGTTTTGATAGATGGGTATTCCAAATGAATGTAAATTCCAGTTTAAAAACTTTTGAGAAACAATTTTGTAAACCAACTTTGAGTATAATATTCCAGGTGCTCTCTAGTACAATGCCTTGTAGTGAAACTTAAGTATGCACAAAAATCAAATACATATATAAGTTACACTCATATATGCATATATGTGATAAGTGTATATGTTAAAATATTGATCAATGGCTGAGTGCAGTTCAGTGGTAGAATACTTGCTTAGCACACAGAAGGACTTGTGTTCAATTCCCCTGTATTAAAAAAGTTGATGAAAATATGAAACATCACAAAAAAGGAGTTCCTGGTAAGAGGGGAGTGGGTCAGAGCCAGGTTCCAATTCAGGCCTCTGGGGGCTGGGAACAAGAGGAAGAGCAGGGACTGAGTCATGGTGTTACACCTTAGCTGGTGCATGGGAAAACAGTGATGGGGAAGTCTTTTTAGAAGGAAGTGAAGATGTGACTCAACACCACACCCACCATGGCAGCTCCAAATGGGGAAGGCAACAACCTAATGTGTGCCTAGCAGTTCCTGCCAGCTGGGTACTGTGCTTAGCACTTCACCGATGTTTCTCACTTAAAGGACACAATAAAAAGCCCATGAAATTGTTCACTTCATTTGACAATTGAGGTCATTATCTGAAAAATGAGTATTCAGCGCAACCAGAGAAAATAAGGATTAACATGACCCAAGAATATCTGGCATGAGAATGTCAAGGCTCAGACTTAGAGAAACCTGAGCAGAAGTGATTGAGGATATGGCCATGGAGGCGATTGGAGAGCGTGAATTAATTGGTGCTCCAAAAGGCAAAACAGAAGACACAGAGTGGAATGTGTCAAGAGGTTGGGGAGTGGGGCCTCTGTTAACACTCAAATTAAAACTAGGGAAGCAAGATAGAGACTGGATATTGAAGAGAGCCAGAGAAATCTGGTAAACATGCTTATCTGAAGAGGCAGGCAAGAGACTGGGGCAGAAGTGGATGTCTACCATGTGGAATAATTGTGCCTGCCACCCAGCACTTTCCCACAGCCCTGGTTTCCTTAAGGGACAGGAGCATTTTGCCACATACTCAGTTCCCCCTAGGTGAAGGAAAGGGAAGCTACTCAAGAGACTGTGTGGTAAGGTCTGTGATGCTGAGACCAACTAGTGGGGTGGAAGGAAGACCATCTAAAAAGTAAAGCACCTGATTTGGTCTTTAAGCCCTGTAAACTCCAGCATGTCTGTTAATGTCCCCCTTTGTCAGTTGGATCATGTAAATATAATAAAACCTGTCCTACTATAAATGACATTGGAAACACAGGCTCCAGGACAATGTGTCTCCCACCTATAGCCAAACTTCCACAGAATTTTTGTTTTTGCCTTTTTAGATTTTACAATAATTTTCTTAAATATATTCCTTTTTAAAACTAGAGCTTTATAGTCATACATAGTAGTGGATTCATTTGGACAAAATCATACATGCATGCAATTTGATTTCAATTCATGATTCGCCCCTTTCCTCCCTCTTTTACCCCCTGTCCTCCCTAAAGTCTCTCAATCTCCTTCATTCTACTAGACTTCCTTTTGCTCATCTATTAATTTATATTTGATTGCTTCTTTCTACCGATGCATAAAGGTGGAGTCCCCTGTGGTATCTTTATATGTGCACATGACAACTTTTTAAGAATTCATTCTGGGGCTCTGGTTGTGGCTCAGTGGTAGAACACTTGCCTCGCATGCATGAGTCCCTGGGTTGGATCATCAGCACCAGGTAAAAATAAATAAAAATAAAGATATTGTGTCCATCTACAACTAAAAAAAAATTTTATTTTTATTTTTTTTTATGTATCAATTTTATTTTTTTTTTATTTTTTTTTAATTTTTTTATTTTTTTAAATTTTTTATTGTTGGCTGTTCAAAACATTACATAGTTCTTGATATATCATATTTCACAATTTGATTCAAGTGGGTTATGAGCTCCCATTTTTACCCCATATACAGATTGCAGCATCATAAAAAAAAATTTTAAAAAGTATTCATTCTGCATTGCCTCCCCTTACCAATCCCTGCTCTCTGCCTCTTGATCTTCTCCATTGCTGCTCTTTCCTTTATCTGTGTGATATTCTATCCTGCCCTCCCCATTTCCTTTGTTTACTCTAGTTTCTGCATGAGAGTAACATTCAAGCTTTGAGTTTTTGTGCTTGGATTTTTCATGTAGCATGACATTCTCATTTCTATCCATTTATCTGCAAATGCCATGATTTCATTCTCTTTTATGGCTTTGTAGAACCCCAGTGTGCGTGTGTATGTGCATGTGTGTGTGTGCCCACGCACACATGTGTACACATGCACACATGTCATATGATATATATATATATATATGAATTTTAAAATTTACTTATCTATTGAGGGGAATCTGGGTTGATTCCATAATTTAGCTATTGTGAATTATGCTGCTATACACATTGAGGTAGCTGTCTCTGTAATATGCTGTTTTTAGATGTTTCGGAAAAATACCAAGGAGTGGACAGATGCTCATAGGATGCTTACATCCCTAGGTTTTTTGATGAAACTCCATAGTGTCTTCTGGAGTTGTACTAGTCTGCAGTCCCACTAACAATGTACAAGTGCACCTTTTCCCCCACCACCTTCCCCGCATTTTGTTTTGTGTGTATTCTTGATCATTGCCATGGTGGAGTGAGATGAAATTTTAGTGTTGTTGTCATTTGTGTTTCTCTGATTGCTAGTGAGGTTGAAGCTTTTCCTCATAGATTTGGCAATCTGTGTTTCTGTTGTTATTTTTTTATTGCCCATTGATTGATTGGATTATTTGGGATATTTTTGTTTCAAGTGTTTTGAGTTATTTATATATTCTGGGTATTAATCTCTGAACAGATGAGTTCTTGCCAAGATTTTTTCACATTCTATAGGCTCTCTGTTCACTCTCTTATTTCTTTCCTTTGCTGTGAAGAAGTTTTGTAGTTTGATGGCGTTCCACTTATCAATTCATAATTTTGAGTATCCTGTTAAGGAAGCTGGTGCCAGCAATTATATGATAGAATGTTGGCCTTATGTTCTTTTCTAGCAGTTATAAGGTTTCTGGTCTAATTTCTAAGTCTGTGATCCATTTTGACTTGAGTTTTGTGCACTGTGAGAAATAGGGTTTTAGTGTTATTTTTTATTTTTAAAGTTTTTTTTTAGTTGGTAGATGAACATAATACTTTTTAACTTTTATATGGTGCTGAGGATCAAACCCAGTGCCTCACACGTGCGAGGCAAGCACTCTGCTGCTGAACCACAATCCCAGCCCTTAGTGTTATTTTTCTACATAGTTATCCAGTTGTCCCAGCACCATTTATTAAAAAGGCTCTTTTCTCCAATGTATATTTTTGGCACCTTTGTTAAGTATCAGAGGGCTCTAAGTATGTGGATTTGTCTCTGTCTTCTATTCTGTCCTATTGGTCTATGGGTCTATACCTTTGGTGACACTATCATGCTGGTTTTGTTACTACAGCTCTGCAACACTACTGGTATTCTGTGTTTAATAATGGTACCAATAAGAAAAACCAAACTGAAACAAAAACTAGTTCAGGAATTGGATAGTAGGAGTCAACTGTGTGACTAATATATTAACATTCCCACTTGAAGTGGTGGGAATTACTCTGTGTGTGTGTGTGTGTAGCTATTTTTCTTTAATAACTTTATTTTATTTATTTATTTTTATGTAGTGCTGAGGACTGAATCCAGTACCTCACACAAGCTAGGCAAGCGCTCCACCACAGAGCTACAACCCCAGCCCTAGGAATACAGTATTTTTAATGAAAATACTTTAAAAAAATATTATTTTTACATGACTGTAGAGTATATTTTGATATATTATACAAACACAGAATAAGTATAACTTGTTGAAAATAGGATTCTGCCATTATTGTAGTTGTACATGATGAGAAGTTACATTGGTCGCGTATTTATAGATAAAGATAGGAAAGATGTGTCCTAGTCATACTACTGTATTTCCTATTACCACGCTCCCTCCCTTCTCTTCATTCCCCTTTGTCTAGTCCAATGAATCTCTAATCTTCCACTCCCTTATTGTGAGTTAGCATCCACATTCTGCCTTTGGCTTTTTGGGACTGCCTTATTTCACTTAGCATGATAATCTCTACTTCCATCCATTTACTAGCAAATGATATAATTTCATTCTTCTTTATGGTTGAGTAGTATTCCAGTATATATGTATACCTCCTTCTTTATCCATTCATCTGATGTAAGGCACCCAGGTTGGTTCCTTAGCTTGACTTTGAGAATTGTGCTGCTATTAAATATCGAAGTGGCTGTGTCATTGTAGTATGCTGATTTTAAGTCCTCTGTGTATGTGAGGAGTGGGATAATGGGGTCAAATGGTGGTTCCATTCCAAGTTTTGTGAGGAATCTCAATACAGCTTTCCAGAGTGGTTGCGCCAATCTACAGTTCCACCAGCCATGTATTAAGTGAACCTCTTGCCCACATCCATTATTGTTGCTTTTAGTTTTAATATTTACCATTCTGAGTGGGGCGAGATGGATTCAGTGTAGTTTTGATTTACGTTTCTCTAATTGCTAGAGATTTTAAACAGTGCTGCCTATGGATCAACCAATTTCAGAAGGCTTTACTGATCTCAGAGATTTTTTTGTACTAAATCTGTGTTTCTCTGTGTTCTCCCCCCATTTGTGGGGAATCTTTGCTGCTTTTGGTATCCATGTGGCAGGTGGGTTGGCTTCTATGTATTCTTTTTCTTTGTTTTGTACTCAAATTTCTGAACCCCTAATCCAACTGAATGTCCAATATTATATTTTTTGAAATTCCTCTTTCACCAGCCTCACTGAGTAGCTGTACTCTTGCTGCTGAGTTCATGAGCAAGGCCCAACATGGAATGTAGCTTTCCACTATCTCACCATCTTCCTGTCTTGCAATACAGCTTTTTATACAGGATGATTGTTCATCAATTTTGACACTTTTCAGGTTGATGCCATTCCATTTGTGAATTTTTGATTTTATTACTTGCACTGTAGGAATGTACTTAAGGAATTCAGTTCTTGAACCTAGATGTTAGAGTGTTGGGCCTACATTTTCTTCTAGTAGATGCAGGGTTTCTGGTCTACTTAAAAGGTCTTTGATTTGCTTTGAGTTCAGTTTTAAGAGATAGGGGTTAAATTTCACTTGACTACATATGGATTTCCAGTTTTTCCAGCACCATTTGTTGAAGAGGTTATCTTCAGCACACTACAGTGATTCAGTCATATCAATGTTTTTAGCAGCACAATTCACAATAGCTAAGCTGTGGAGTCAACCTAATAATAATATATATATACACACATACATATGTGTGTGTGTGTGTGTGTTTGTATGTATACATCACTGAGGCATAAATAAGAATAACTTTATGACATCTGCCAGTAAATGGATGGATCTGGAGACTACCATGCTAAGTGAAATAAGTCAATCCCCCCAAAAACAAAGATCAAATGTTTTTTCAATATTTGGAAGCTAACCTACACTAAGGGGGAGGGAACAGGGGAAGAATCAGACAAAGGGGAATGACAAAGAGGAGCAATAAGGAAAGGAAATGAATGGTAAGAAAAGGAATGAAGCTGACATAACTTTCCTATTTATATATAGGAATAAAACACAGAAAATCTCACCACTGTGTACATGTACAAGCCTGGGGTAATTATTAGAATAAGATATAGTCCATGCTTGTATAATGATATCAAAATGGCCTCTAATCTCATGTATAACTAAAAAGACCCAATAAAATAAAAACAATTTTAAAAATCGACACTTTTCGTTTGCATGTCCAAGGTAATAATCCAGGTTTGAGTTAATGCTTCCCCCCCCCCCCCCCCAAAAAAAAAACCCCAAGAGAAGGATCCATGTGCTAGTAACTTAGGAAGGCCACATTCCCAGCAAAAAGAGGCAGTGATGTCAAGGAAGTTAGGTACAGAAGGAAATCAGTCTAAAAGTATGGAATTTAAGAGAAGGTAGCATGTGTCTGAAAGATGCTCTTCACAGGGTTAGGATCCTAATCTGACTGGGGTTCCCTGCCACAGTTATGAGGAATATCAGGAGAGCAGGCATGAAAACAGAGCAGAATTCAGAGTGTAAACAGGAAATGTAGATGGAAGGGCAGGTCAAGGCTACAAGGCCATGGGAAATACAGATAAGACCAAACAGAGGCTCCATCTGCTGTTGGAGACAAGCACAGGTGAAGAGAAATCACTGCAGAAGTAGGAGCTACAATCTTATACAGAGTTAAAAGGAGTCAAGTGCATCCCAGAGCCAACATACCTGAAGCTTGAAGGCCAGGGGATCTGCATGCTATTTTCCACTTGCTAAACCAAAGTTTTCTTCCAGTTATCTTCTGTTTGCAGAAACCTGTGGCAACATTGAGGACATGCTCTTGTAAACCATCTATGTTGTCAGATGATCCTTTAAGAGCATCATCCTCTATCTTGACATGATATTTCATTGAAATGGAAGCATCTAAATTCAGCTCTGACAATAAAAGCACAGACAACAAGATCCAGTTTCATCTATGATCTTACTGTGACATACTCTTCCACCAAGAGGGTCACCAAATCAAGAAAGCAGCTTTGGACAAAGAAGTCCATGAGTTGATATGCAGCTTATAATGACTTTGATATTTTCTTTTACTTTCATGCTTCTTCCACATTCAATAATGATGAATTTTCCAGGAGGCAAAGGTGCTCAAAATGCTAAAAAATGTGCAAGTAATAGGATTGGTAAAATCCAATAGTGCCCAGATATATAAGCCAAAACTAGGAAATCACACTGGAGGTAAATTGTGCTTTTGGAAAGGAAGAGGTAATAAAAATCAAGCAAATCAATGTATAAACAACCACATTATTAAAGAAAGGAAAACTCCACCTAAGGAATACACATTTGCATAATAATAATATACTCCATATATACCCATTATATACAATATAACCACCATATATAAACAATGCTTAATATACACATGGGGGGTTCTCTATATTTATCTGATGGACAACTGCTTCTTTGGGCTCTTGACTCTACCTGTGCATTGGAAACTTGCATCTATGATATGTGCGGGCTCACATGTCCACTCAAAGGCCATTGGGCCTTCTCTGTGGAAAACTGAAAGGAGAAGAGCGTTCAGTAACAACCCCAGTTATTCCTTTGCTAATCACTCCTGGAAAACCCATTTCTTATGTGCCTGCCTATTGATACATCTAGTGACCAAGGTACAGTGACAGAGATCATGTGTCCAATGGACATGTGATCATTTGTACATGTGCTTAGGTATTAGATGAGCAGTGCCCAGACAAGAGTCCCTAAAATGAAATCATCCAATTGAAAAATAGGGCTTTGAAGTAACAATGAGTTCACCTTAGTTACTTTTTCTGGAGAGAACATTCTACAGAGATACCAGGGCATGGGAGAAAATGAAGGATTTGTTAATCTTTATCCACAGGCAGAAAATATCATGGAAAAAAATGGCAGACATGATTTTTTTTTAGGGGGGAGGAGTAACGGGGATTGAACTCAGGGACACTCAACCACTTAGCCACATCCCCATCCCTATTCTGTATTTCATTTAGAGACAGGGTCTCAATGAGTTGCTTAGTGTCTGGCTGTTGCTGAGGCTAGCTTTGAACTTGTGATCTTCCTGTCTCAGCCTCCTAAGCCTCTGACATCCAAGGCCTGAGCTACCATGCTCAGCACAGTAGACATAAGTTAAGGGTAGAATCAGTCTGGGAAGTGTTCATGATGTTCTCCCTTGTAACTGCAACCTACATGCAAATATATGACTAGCACAGTAAAGGCCACAGAAAGAAATCTGACCAGGCCATAGGAAAAACAGCAAAGCTTAGACCCACTTGACCTATGCACTTGCCCTGAAACAAAATGGGTCTCCTGGTTCTGAATGTATGTGTCTCAGCCTAGACAGTGGAGTTGGGTGCAGAGAATTTGGGCTTTACCAGAAAGAGAAATTGAATTCATCTAAGTAGTACTCACTGGCTCCATCCACAGCAGAGCTGACTTTAGGCTCATCTGATGGGACGACAGAGCTTCTGAAAAGTTCTTGTGTGTCAGGTGAATCAGGATGACCAGAGGGTAGAAAATATTTTTTGTCCAGCAGGAGATCATTCTCTTTCTCCTCATGTAGTTCACTGTTGAGAGTGCTGAGACAGGGAAGAATGACAGATAAAATCAAGGTGGTTTAGAAACTACAGCCTCCCAGCTGGTCCTGATTCGAAGCTGATGGGTAGAGTCCCCAAACAGGCGCCTCCCATCAAAAATGATCCAGGAAACCATTTTCATCACATGGACATAGTGTAGGTGCCATGATATGAAAGAGAGAGGGAGAGCCACCAGTATCCAGTGTACTGGCCAGATAACAAGCTCATGAGGAAGGAGGCTTGACTCCACCTATAAGGTACAGAAGGAGCACATAATAAGAAACATAGCTGTGGATGAACCTTGTGCATGACTGATATTGACACACATAGTTGGCAGGCGAATACACCCTGCTACATGATAGAGGGCCAGAGAACTTGTGCCTTCTAGAATTTTTTCTATCCATTTTTTGACATAACACTCATTTCTGCTTTTCTTGCTATGGCATACCTGTCCATGATCTCAGACCATTAGTGTAGAAAGATAGTATGCCTCTAATCCTGATTTTACAACTTATAACGTTAACAACTGATTTCCGTAAAAGCGAGAAATGCCCAAAACTGACTGTGCAGTTCCTCTTAGTCAGACACACTGTACCAGTCCCAGGAGGACAAAAGATAACCTTGCTAAAGGGCTCCATCATACTGGGTTGAGTCAACATCATCACTGCCAACAGCAGTCTTTCTTTACATTTGGTCATGAAATGTGTCTACTTTGCCTTTCAGATCATCCTTAACCCCTTATTTTATCCTTTTTACTACCCTCAGATTATTTGTTGTTACCTGGAATTCAATGAATCTTGATCTTTTTCATTGTTATTTTCATGGTTTTCTGCAAACAATTCAAAAACATCCAGGAGTCATTAAATAGTGCAATTCCATCCATTTCAACTAGAGCCCATTGGGTTCTCCAGTCATCTTGGCTAGACAGCAATAAGAATCTGCAAGAAATCTTGGAAGTTATTGCAATGTAGGTCAGGAATGAGCAGAAAAAGGAGTCATGGAAAATGGAGTGGGCTAGGGGTGAAGACATAATGACTCTAGACCAGTTTGGGTCTGCTATCTATAGCTCAGATAAAGTTTAGTTGTTGTAATCTTTCTCAACAGTTTTCACAATTTTCCTTTGTATGTCCAAGATAAAATCCAGGGTTGACTTAGTCCTGTTTGCCAAGGAGGGTCCAAGAAGGAGCTATGTGCTAGTGACTTATGAAGCCATGTTCCCAGAAGAAAGAGGCAGTGGAGTCACGGAAGCTGGGAAGAGAAGGCAAAAAAGCCTAGACAGCATGTGATTCCAGGGAAGGTGGCATGTGTCTGAAAAGATGTTCTTCATGGGATTAGGACCCCCATCGAGCTGGGCTTTCCTGTGGCATTTACAGGGAATATCAGGATAGCAGATATAGGAACAGAGCAGATTTCAGAATGCAAACAGGAGATGGAGATGGAAAGGCCTGTCAGGGTGGGAGACCATGAAAAAGAGAGGTAAGACCAGACAGTCTCCATCTGCTGTTGGAACGAACCAATGGTGAAGAGAAATCACAGCAGAAGGAGCTATATCCTCATAGAGAGAGCTAAAATGGGTAAGTGCATCCCGGAGCCACAGAAGCCAACACCACTCTACCCAAAGCTTGAAGTCCTGGGAATCTGCATGCCATTCTCCAATTGCTGAAGACTTGTTTTCTTTTCAGTGTCAGGACACTCATAGTTTCAATGAGAACATGCAGCTCACACTCAGGTGTTTTGACAGCTCAGCCTCCAAGGGCATGACTCACTAGCTTGGGAGGGTTCTTCAACTTAATGCAAGTATCCAACTTCAGCTCTGAAAATAAAACAGGAACTATTATCCTGTGACACACCTATTGACCCAAAAGGGTCACTAAATCAAGAAAGCAGCTTTGCACAAGAAAGTGCAAGATTGTGCAATATATATATATATATATATATATATATATATATATATATATATACATTTTGTTGATATCTGAGATATCCCATAATGATCAAATTGACAGGAGGCAAGCATGCTTCCAATTTATGAAAATATTCAAGAAATAGTTATACACACCCATAGCTCCCAGCTATATATGGCAATAATACCATTAGGGATATAGGCAGTGCTTTGAGTAGGGAAGAGATTATAAAAGTTAGGCAAAATCAAAGTAGAAGGAAAACTATATGAAAGTAAAGAACTGGGGAAGATCATCCCTGGAAAATTTTAAATCTTACATATGACTGACTTATTTTATATACAGGCATTATAGATACATCTGATGAACACATAATTAGGAATGCTTACGTGAGGGATATTTGATATTCTGGCCAGTAGAAGTTAGAAATAATTTAGAAACATGAGGAAAAAAATATTCGAAAAGCAGATGTCTTGTTAGACAACAGAATATAATCACACAACTGAGGCTGAAGGCTGAGTCTTGATTAGGATTGTGGGAGCATACAAGACAGTCCAGCAGAAAGAAAAGATGGTGAACCTCCTCAAGTTATCACATGTGCTTCACGAACTACACACCAATGACACACACTGAGCCCATTCCAGGGAGTGCTCCACATGAGGGACAGGTGTTTTTTCTCTTGCATGACCCTCAGAGGTTTGTGCAACGGTGCCCATTTCTTTCAGATGAGTGTGGTACCTGACATGAGAACCATGTCAGGTACCACAGGTTCCAGAAACTGATAATGAGGGAGACACAGAATAAAGATGAACACAACCCAGATTAAGGGGACAAGAGGGACTGAAACTTCAGTCTTCACATTTGAGCAGAATTAGATCTTTATGAGAAGGACACTGATATGGCTATGGAGATAGATGAATAGAGAGGATGGACTCAGTATGGAATCATCAAGGAGACCAATTTGTGCACTTTTCTGTGTGAAGGTGTCACTTTATTTCAAACATAGGAGGAAAGGAGAAAAGTGAGCTGGATAGGTCAGGACACAGAATTGTGGGCCCAGGATTTATACTATTACTGAAAATTGTTCTATATCAAAGGAAAACGTCTTTGTGAGATCATATTTAGCAAATCAACAGAAGTTATCTAAGGATTTGAGATTACATAGTCAAATTTTCATTAAAAATTTTTTAATTTTGTTGAATTGGCACCAGGGAAATTATTTTAACTAATGAAACCACCGAAGAGATGTAAACACCTAAGATATCCCTGTGGCTAAGACCAGCCCAGGAACTGAGAGTATATCTAACCCTAAACCCCAGGCTCTGATCACCTCATCATGTCAGAAAATCTCAGCTTTCCGTCTGACCCTGAGACAACACAGGGAAGCCCATCATCTCTGCCACCCACAACATTCTGACAACCAACACGTGGACCAGAGCTTATGAATTCCCCTTCCTTGCCTACTTGGGAAGAGCGTCCACTGTTTTCCAGAATCAATGTTGGTTACACAGCTATTGATAGCAGAGGAAAGGCTCCACCATCACCACAGTTGAACTGGTGACCCAACATTGTCCCCTTACAACTTCTCATCTGTGGATTTACATCCAGGTATGATCTGAGGCTTGCATCTCTGACATGTTGCGGCTCACATTTCAACTCAAAGGCCCTTGGAGACAGGCTTTCTCAGTGATACCTGAAAGGGGAAGAGGGTTCAGTAACTACCCCAGTCCTCTATTTGTTTAGTACCCGCAGAATGCCCATTTCTCATGTCCCTGCCAATTGGGGAAACAATCTAGTGGGACTCAGGCACTGTAACAGAGATCATGAGTGTGATGGATATTTTACCTTTGGTTTCTGTGCCTGGGATGCTAAGAAGGCAAGAATCAATGAATGGGATGGCAAACTGCAAAGCTTCTTCACAGTAAAAAAAAAAAAAAAAAAACAATAATGTGAAGAGATGGCCTACAGAATGGGAAAAAAATTTTACCACTTGCACAACAGACAACAACATTCAATCAATCTCCAGGATATATTAAGACCTAAAAAATGAAACTGGAAATCAATGATAAAATAAAAAATAAAAATTTCTCCTTCACCTGGAGACTAAACAATATGCTACTAAATGAACAATGGGTCACAGAAAACACCAAGGAGGAGATTAAAAAATTCTTAGAGTAAATCAGAACATAGACACAACATATGGAAATCTCTGGGACACTACGAAAGCAGTACTAAACGGAAAATTCAATGCATGGAGTTCATTCCTCAAAAGAAGAAAAAGTCAACAAATAAATGACCTCACACTACATCTCAAAGCCCTAGAAAAATAAGAACAAATCTGCAGCAAAAGCAGTAGATGGCTACAAATAATTAAAATTAGAGCTGAAATTATCGAAATTGAAACAAAAAAAACAATTGAAAATATTGACAGAACAAAAAGTTGGTTCTTTGAAAAAATGAAGAAAATTGATAGACCCTTAGCCATGCTAACGAAGAGAAGGAGAGAGAGAATTCAAATTACCAGCATATGTGATAAAAAAGGTAATATCACAACAGACACTACAGAAATACAGAGGATAATTAGAAATTATTTTGAAAACTTATACTCCATTAAAATAGAAAACATTGAAGGCATTGACAAATTTCTTAATGCATACGATTTGCCCAGATTCAATCAGGAAGATATACATAATTTAAACACACCAATATCAAATAATGAAATAGAAGACACCATCAGAAATTTAACAACCAAGAAAAGCCCAGGACCAGATGAATACACAGGCAAGTTCTACAAGATCAATATATTATAATTTGTTTCAGGAAATTGAAAAAGAGGCAGCACTTCCAAACTCATTCTATGAGGCCAATATCACCCTGATCCCCAAACCAGGCAAAGACACATCAAGGAAAGAAAACTTCAAACCAATATCTCTAATGAACATAGATGCAAAAATTCTCAATAAAATTCTGGCAAATTGAATACAAAAACATATAAAAAAGATTGTGCACCATGACCAAGTGGGATTCATCCCAGGGATGCAAGCAGGTTCAACATATGGAAATCAATAAATGTAATTCATCATATCAATAGACTTAAAGATAAAAATCTTATGATCATCTTGATAGACACAGAACAAGCATTTGAAGAAATACAGCACCCCTTTATGTTCAAAACACTAGAAAAACTAGGGATAACAGGAACATATCTCAATATTATAAAGGCTATCTACGCTAAGCCTCAGGACGACATCATTCTAAATGGAGAAAAATTGAAGGCATTCCTTCAAAAAACTGGAACAAGCCAGGGATGCCCTCTTTTACCACTTCTATTCAACATAGTTCTTGAAACACTGGCCACAGCAATTAGACAGACAAAAGAAACTAAATATATATAGGAAAAGAAAAACTTAAATTAGCACTATTTGCTGATGATATGACTCTATACCTAGGAGACCCAAAAAGCTCCACCAGAAAACTTCTAGAACTAGTAAATGAATTCAGCAAAGTAGCAGCATGTAAAATCAACACCCAGAAATCAAAGGCATTTCTGTATATCAGTGACAAATCCTCCAAGAAGGAAATGAGGGAAAAAAACTACCCCATTTAAAATAACCTCAAAAAAAAATAAGATACTTGGGAATCAACTTAACGATAGAGGTGAAAGATCTCTACGTTGAAAACTACAGAACCCCAAAGAGAGGAATCAAAGAAGATCTTAGAAGGTGGAAAGAACTACCTTGTTCTTGGGTAGGCAGAATTAATATTATCAAAATGATCATACTACCAAAAGCACTATACAAATTTAATGCAATTCTGATAAAAATCCCAATGGCATTCCTCGTAGAAATAGAAAAAGCAATCATGAAATTCATCTGGAAAAATAAGAGACCCAGAATAGCTAAAGCAATCCTTAGCAGGAAGAGTGGAGCAGGTAGCATCACTATACCAGACCTTAAACTATACTACGGAGCAACAGTAACAAAAAAGCATGGTATTGGCACCAAAACAGACTGGTAGACCAATGGTACAGAATAGAGGACAGAGAGACTAACCCATAAAATTACAATTATCTTATTTTAGACAAAGATGCCAAAATATGCACTGGAGAAAAGATAGCATTTTCAACAAACAGTGCTGGGAAAACTGGAAATCCATATGCAAAGAAATGAAATTAAACCTTTATCTCTCACCATGGACAAAACTCAACTCAAAGTGAATCAAGTACCTAGGAATTAAACCAGAGATTCTGCATCTAATAGAAGAAAAAGCAGGTCCTAATCTTCATCATGTGAGATTAGGCCCCAACTTCTTTAATAAGAATCCTATAGTGTAAGAATTAAAAACTAAGAATCAATAAATGTGATGGAATCAAACTAAAAAGTTTCTTATCAGCAAAAGAAACAATCTGTGAGGTAAACTGAGAGCTTACAAACTGGGAGCAAATTTTACCCCTCACACATCAGATAGAGCACTAATCTCTAGGGTATATAAAGAACTCAAAAACTAAACACCAAAAACAAACAAACAAACAAAAAAACAATCAATAAGTGGACCAAGGACCTGAACAGACACTTCTTAGAGGATATACAATCAATCAACAATTACTATGAAAAAATATTCATCATCTGTAGCAATTACAGAAATGCAAATAAAAACAACTCTAAGGAGACAGACCACCTCAACTGGAAGAGGAGGCCAGCCTCCTGCC